AGTAGTTTTATGATATCATGTTATTACATTTAAGTCTCTAATCCATTCTGATTTTATATTTGTATATGGTGTAAGGAAGTGGTCCAGTTTTATTATTTTTTTGCATGTATCTGTCCAACATGCCCAATATCATTTAGTAAAGAGACTGCCTTCACCCCATTGAATATTCGTGCCTGCTTTGTCAGATTAATTAGCCATATAGGTGTGGTTTTTATTTCTGGGCTCTCTATTTTCTTCCACCGATGATCTATGTGTCTGTTTTTATGCCATTACCTTCGGTTTTGATTATTACGACCTTGTAGTGTAGTTTGATACCAGGAAGCGTGGTAACTCCAATATTGTTCTTTATTCTCAAGATTGCTTTGGCAACTGGGGTCTTTTGTAGCTCAATACAAATTTTAGAATTATTTGTTCTAGTTCTGTGAAAAAGTGCTATTGGATTTTTGATAGGGATTGCTTCGAATCTGCAGATTGCTTTGGGTAATATGGACATTTTAATGATGTTAATTATTTATATATATGAGCACAGTATATCCTTCCATTTATTTGTATCTTCTTTAATTTTTTGCCTCAGTATCTTAAAGTTTTTGAGTATAGGTGTTTTACCTCCTTTGTTAAATTTATTTCAAAGTATTTTATTCTTTCCAATGAAATTCTAAATAGGTTTGCTTTCTTAATTTTTATTTCCCATAGTTTGTCATTGGTTCTCTTCATAGTTCTCTACATTTTGTCATGCCATTGGCAAGTAATGTCAGTTTTATTAATTCCTTTGCAATTCAGATAACTTTTATTTCTTTTTGTTTGTTTGTTTGATTACTGTAACTAGAATTTCTAATATTATGTTGAATAACTGGGGAAAATGGACACCCTTGTCTCAGTACTCATCTTACAGAAAAAAGATTTCTGCTTTTCACCACTGAGTATGGTGTTAGCTCTGGGTTTGTCATATATGTCTTTTATATATTGAGGTATGTTCTCTCTAATGAGGTAAGAAAACATAAAAACTTTGCTGAGTTTTTATCCCAAATGGATGTTGGATTTTGTCAAATGATTTTTCTGCATCTATTGATATGATCATATGATTTTTATCCTTCAATTTGTTTTTGTGGCATATCACAATTAATTTGCAGATATTGAACCAAAGTTGCAATCCATAAATAAATCCCACTTGATCATTGTGTCTGATCCTTTTATTATATTCCTGGATGCACTTTACTAATATTTTATTGAGGATTGTTGCATCTATGTTCATCAGGGATATTGACCTATTCTATTCTTTTTTTGTAGTGTCTTTGTCTGATTTTTATATCAAGGTAATGTCAGCCTTGTAAAATGAGTTTGAAAGTCTTTCCTCCTCTTCAACTTTTTAGAATAGTTTGAGATGGATAGATATTACTTTTTCTTTGAATGTTTGGTAAAATTAAACTGAAACCATCTGATCCAGGTCTTTTGTTTGTTGGGAGTTCTTTGACTACTTATTCAATTTTGTTAGTAGTTATTAGCCTGTTCTTCTGTTTCTTCCTGATGTAATCTTGGAAGATTATATGCTTCTAAAAATGTATCCATTTCTTCCAGATTGTCCATCTTGTTGGCATACAATTGTTCACAGTATTTTCTGATAATCCTTTGTATTTCTGTAGTGTAGGTTTTTACTTCCCTTTCATTTCTGTTTTTATTTGAGCCCCCTCTCTTTTTTTTGGTGAGACTGGCTAAGGGCTATCAATTTTGTTTATGTTTTCAAAGATCCAGCTCTTGGTTTCATTAGCAGGGTTCTGGGACTGCCCTCTGGCTCAGTTGGCTATGGAACTGGTTGTGGGGGCTCTGGTGCAGTGTCTGAAGATGGGCACTGGGTGTGCTCATTGTGGAGCCTCCTGGAAGGGGTTCTGGTGCCGGCCAAATCCAGCCTCCGCTTGTGCAGGGCTTGGGGCTGCTTGGTAGATAGAGCTCCCAAGTGATATGCATGTGTTTGCTGCTTCTGTGGAGCTTAGAGATACTTGAAAGAGACCATCCTGAGACCTGAGGCTGGATGCCCTTGTGCTGGGTTTGTGGCCCTTTGGTGGGTGCTATGATGTGAGCCACAGCCAGGTGCCCCTTATGCCAGGCTTCTGGCCACTTGGAACTATGTTATAGGCCAAAAGTGGCTGTCACTTATGCCAGATTTGGGGCCACCTGATGGGACTGACAATAAAAAAAAGAGAGTCCTCACCACTTGTGCTGGGTTTGAGGTTACTTGGCAGGAGCTATGTTGTACTCTGAGGAGAGCTGCTGCTCATGTGGGGGGTGTGGACATTTGAGAGAGTTTATAGTGCAAGCCCAGGGCAGCTGCCACTTGCGTGGGAATTGCAAACTTTTGAGAAGTCTGCAGCATAAGCCCGAGGCAGCCATGACTTGTGTGTAGTTTGTGGTCCTCTGAGTGAGTCTGCAGTACCAACTGAGGCAGGCTGCTCTGTGGAGGAGCTACTGGAAGAGGCTCAGGTTGAGCTAGAGATTTGGGTGGACCAGGGTCTCAGGAAATCACTAGGGGGAGGGGTGGTGGTGAACAAAGTTAAATGGGAGCACAGATTAGGTATCTGACAGCATGTGGTTAGCTGGTTGGCAGGAGAGCTCAACAAAGGAACTATGATGCCTGCCAGTGTTTCTGTCCCCGAGAGAGAGTTTCCCCAACCCTCATTCCTTCAGTCATCATCCTGTATCAGTTAATTTATTTCTGCCCCGTAAGTTCCTGGCACTTTTCTACCTGCTGCCCTAGTCTGGAGCTTAGAGCAAGTGCTTTTGTTTGCTGGCCCTTTAAGAGTAGCATGCCTTGGTCTCCCGTAGCCCTTTATCCCTCTGGGGCATAATCCCCACTGATTTGCACAGCCCGGTGTTATGGGACCACTCTCCCTGGCACTGGTGCTCCAGGTTAACGAGCCCATTGCTCCTCAGGAGGGTCCTCCAGAGAGGAGACATTTCTCCGATTCTTAACCAGCACATTGCATGTGTGGGGCCGGCTGGTCTCCACCCCCTTACCAGTCTGAGCATGGCTTCCTTATGTCCTTACTTACAGGAATTCTACTTAGCTAGTCTTCAGGTGGTTCTCAGGGGTGGTTTTTCTATAATTATTTGTAATTTTGATGTGGTCCTGAGAAGAGGCAATCTCACAGTTTACCCACTCCATGGTCTTTACCAGAATTCTCTTCTAAATACCTTTTTCCCTCTTCATTCACCATCTGGCTTTGCCAAAATATCCAGTCAATAGAGTCATATTGATGGTTTACTATGCAGTTAGGGGTCAACCCCCCATGAGGTTTGACTAGATGTCTGACTTCACTAAACACTTCCAAAGCTCCTTAGGAAAACATCTGAGAGCCCAAAGGAAACCCCAAACGGGCCCCGTTCTCTTGGTTACATGCAGCCAGTACATGGAATTTCTACAAATAAATTATTGCCCACTGGGATTTTGAATGCCCCCTCTGTACACTTCTTTATAGAGCAGAAGCCCATCATCTGGTATCAGCATTGTTTTTTTTACAGAGCTATGGAATATTGAAGATCTTCAATAAGTGCTATCATTGTTAATAATGGTACGAGCAATACCAAATAGTCATGACTGTTCCTCCTGCGTAAGGAGAAGAAACTATCTGAATAGCCAAGAAAATAATTATTAGAGTGTAGTTTACTTTAAATGACTTTATTCTTGTTATGTATTTGCTTTGCTTGTGTTTTCATATTGCAGCAGCCTATAGTTCCAAAGTCCAATACTATTACTACGGCTCTAACCACTACTACTACTACTACTACTACTACTACCACTACTAAAAAGAAGTCAGACTTTGACTAATCTGCACTCAAGGTAAGGGGAAAGCCTGAGAGAGTCTGAGGTGGGCAATTAGCACAGAGAAAAATTGTTCCTGGCCGGGGAAATGTGCCCAGCAGACAACTGAACTTACAGAGCTTCATTCCACTCCCATCTGCAGGACACTGCTGTGTGGCTCAGTGCTCTGATCCACAGGTGTTTCAGATTTACTTACAAGACCTACCGCATTGCTGTAGCCTCCAAAATCGTCTCCTTTCAATACCTCCACAGAGTAGGGACTCTCCTCTCTCGAAGGAGGCATTAGGTAGTGGGAAACTAAGAGTGAAGGAAAATGAGAAAATAGTTTCCAAAATATGTTTATATGCTTTCCTGAAATGAATAAGAATTGGTGGACACTGCTGGTTGCACGCCCTTATCAACATCCCCTTATCTTTATTTACTCACAGAACACAGGAGGGCAGAAATGCACTCAGCTAATATACTCTGCCAGGTTTCCTTGCTTCTAGAATGGCTCAATGACATAGTTATGGCCAGTGACAAGTAAGAAACCATCTGTTAGGCATTTCTGGAAGAGTTTTTGCGTTACCAATACAAGCACTGCCCCTTTCTTTTTCTTCCTGCCTGGAATGCAAAAATGACGCTGAAGATAGAGCAACCTTTTGAGACCATGAAGCAACACAAAAATCAAAGCTGTGTGCTAAATACTAGTATAAGGGAGCAGAAAAAGAAGGCATTTGGATAGTGATATTAAACTTCTTGCTAAAGACAAGAAAGTAATCCCTATTTGATTAAGCCAATGTTTGGGGTTTCTAATACATGGACACACATCTATGTGTTCATCGTGAA